TTTAGAAATTTTATGTACACCTGTTATATTAAATAGTGTCTGTCTGAAGAAGCAGCTTTTAAAGATGCTATGCTTATTTTCATTCTAGTTTATTCTTTTATGATGCAGACAGCTGGAAGAGACTCAGTCACAACCTTGATCTCTATATGATCTTTAAAAACAATTCCTCTATCTACTCTTAGAGTTTTCTTAGTCATCTGACTTAGTCTCCTCATCCTATTATATGCTATGGAAGATTTTTCCGTTTCATTTTAGTGTATAAAAGTAACAGGAGCTTTTCAAGCACCCGGTGCAGAATAAAGATGACTAAGTAATTAAAAGCTACAGGAGCTGCTGATTGGCACATAAGCTACAATGTGATGAACAGATGTGAATTACAGTAACATGCATCTTTAATTCCTTGAAAGAGTGCATAATGAGACCTGATTTAAATATGTTATATTTTTAAGAAACATCGCATGTGTTTTCTTTGAAATTAGCTTTACCTTCATCTGCTGGAGCTATTAAGCCAATCTGCTCCTGGAATTATTCTATACAAACCTGTACAATTCAAAAGAGGAAAAAAGAGGCTGTAAATCAACAATGCATAATTTTGGAAGCCCACTTACTATGCTTGAAAAATAGTTTTGAGATGCAACTGAGTGAAATAGGTGCTTACAGGATACACTAAACAGAGTAAAAATTCATGAATAGAAAAAGTTTTTCTAGCTTTCTAAATTTTGAAAAGTGGAAAAGACTTCAGCTACAAGGTATTCCCAATAGAGTTTTGGAAGGCCTTGCTTTACACAAATTATTTTTCCATAAAGTCAAACAGTACGTTAAAATATATTGGCTTGTAAGAAGAATTAGTTTTTATATTGGAAATCATAAGTATCTCTAACGAAGAGAGAGCAAATGAGTTTGATTATCTTGATATAACAGAATAAATTGTATATAATTTCCAAAGCTTTAATGGAAAAAAACATTTGTTTCACAATTATGAAAAGAAGAACAAATCAAAATAAAGTGTAAATTGTTGGCTAATGGTTGTAAAGCAGGGAGCTAACACTTCTTTGCTTTCTTCCCTAAGAAAAGAATTTTGTTAATGGCATCCTGGGTTACTCTGCAGTAGTCAAGTAACCTGAAGGATGTCCCTCATACCTGTAAAATTAATGCTGTGGTGCTGTTGATATTTTTTTGCTTTGTGTGATGCTGCCATAAATAATTTCAAGAGTGTAGTTTTGTGAGCTCCTGTCCATCTTCCAGTGGAAGAATTCTTTCAGAATTCAGGTCTCGAAAGAGGATTTTGTTAATTATTCTTGGCTAGTATTATTTAAGGTCAGCTCTTAAAACTGTTTGTGTTGACACTGTAACAACGCACCAGATTTTAGGTTTCCAGGGTTTTTTCCCCTTCTTTTTTAATAATAAAGAATCTCTAAAATTAATGTCAATTTCTCCAGGTATCTTTAAAGATTCCTGGTTTATGTAGGAACTAAGAATGAATTTGCTAATGCAATAAAACTGTTGGAATTGTAGATGTTGATTTTGGTAGTCTGTTACTTGTCAGATTACTGAAGGAAGTAAACCATTACCTAAAGTATACAGTAATTGTACAATTTAGAATTGTAGTATGAAATATGGTGGTATGAGTTGCTGCCGAAGTGCATACAGCCCCTTTTCATATGACTAGTATAGCCTTAAAATATCATTGTACTTTTATAAATATAAAAGGGCATCATGTGGGAAAAAATAATTAGGCTATGTGCTCAGAGTTTGCATTTTCATTTTGTGTTCACATCTGCATACCCAACAGGCCTCAAAAAATACTTATATCCATGTGTTTGCCTTCACTTACTATTTATTTAATCTGTACCAAAACTGTAGTATTATTTTTCTCCCTGAAAAGTATAGCTAGCTACAGG